GATAGGCCACCACATCCACTTTTACTTTGTAATTTGTCAGTGGCGACTCCTATCCCAACATCTTTACAGGAAATCTTAAATGGTGATAAATTGTATCAAACAGCATTCTATTTTTGTTCATACTTATTTCTCTTCCATTTTCTGGTCTCTAAAGTCTATTACAAGTACATTTTAAAAATCCAGAATATGGACAGTGCCTAGTTTTATCCTCCTGAATAAATAATACATTTCCATTAGGTTGCTTATTACTGGATGATAGATCACATTTTACCAATTCTGAAGGGTGAACTGAGCACTGAGTGTTTGTTTCATACTTGAACCCTTGTTATTTGATTGCCCTAGCTTGCAAACGAAGACTTAATTAATGATAAATTGTCATTCCATTTCTATGTTGAAATAACAAAGGATCAGTATACAGACATTTCATTACCAAACTAGGAAACATCTCCAGTGTTAGATGGGGTTTGCAGAGTGGAAATAAAAGAGGAGGAGGAGGAGGGAGAGGAATAGAAGGACTGTGCGATCCATGATGCTCTCTGAGCTCGATGGTTTTCTTGCAGACGTTTCATTTCAAACTAGATAACAACATCAGCACTTGGCTATCTTCTGCATTTTTAATATGCAGGGAAATATTTTATATGTAGGTTGTGGGTGTGTGAAAATACTATAGGTACACAATGTTTGCTGTATATTGTACAAAAAAAGGAAATAAAGTTTCCTGGAAATAAAAAAACCAAAGAAATATTTTGCGTTTAGTGAAAATGTTTTCATTTACAGTTATGTAAAGAATCTTTTTTAATATACTGGTAAAAAGTAGAAAATGGAATATCCCTCAAGATAGACTTACTAGTTTTTTTTTATCCTTGAGGCACCAGATAAAGACTTTTTAGTCTATAAATATTTTAACCTTTTAGTTTTTACAATATTGACACTTTTTAAATCTTTGAATTTTGCCTACCTGAAAGGACAGGAAATACCCTTTGAGATATGCCTGCTCAGATCCTATTAGATATCCAGAATATTCTTAGATATCCAGAAACATTCGCTCTGTCTTTGTCAAATAATTTTGAAAAGAGTCTAATGATTTTTGCCCCATTAAATATTTTATTATTTTCAAATTTTAATATTAATTTTTTAACTTTTTTATATACTGTTTTTGTAGTTTGATGTTTTATTATATACCACTCACAGACCTTCTTTGAGGAAGATGTGCAGTTCAGAACTGTGAAATATAAATACATAAAAATTGACTCAGGCAATTAATAAATTGAATTAATTAATGTTGCTTTGAGTGAGGAAAAAAGGCATGGACAGCAACATGTATACACTTCCATTTATAAAACAGTATGCACTATATTTTAATACAGTATAATCTAAATTGGCCCTTTCTGTGTTATGATATGCAAGAAAATATAAGAATATTTTTTTAAAAGAATTATCTAGATCTCTACAGAACCAGGCACAGTAAAGAGCAAAGTGAACAAGTGATGAATGCATACTTATGATTTAGGTACTTACACCACATTAATGACGCTACCGTGTCATTTTTCATAGTTGTAGTTGCTAACAGTTACTTATGTCTGATTGATTGACAAGAGGGTTTAAATAGTAATCCAATTTAATCCACATGGTTTAATTCAATTCAGGATTTTGGATTGGGTTATGCAACTTTGCTTTACATTTTTCCTACCATAAAGTACAAGATAGGGACATCTGGGACATTACATAAGATGACATAGAAGGCAACAGTAAGAAAACTAGAAAAACATTGTTCCTTCTCTATTATTTTAGCAGATTGCATTCGCCCGATAAAAAGATCCCTATTCAGCATGCCTTCTTTATAAACCAAGCCCTTGTTCCACAAAACTTGTGCAAAATTTCAAATGTCCATGCTTGGATAAATTTGGAAAAGGGTATTTTCCTTTCATTTCCATGAATGGAAAGAAGCATAGGCTAAACTAATTTATCAGTTATCTGCCTACCTCCATGGGAGGGGGGAGCTGAGTTGGAGGGACACCTTGTTCTCAATTGTCAAAGCTGCAATGTCAACAAGATGTAGGAGATGCTGGCCATCATTAAATCTGCAAAGGAAACCTGGTATCTTGTGTGTTAATTACAGTAATTCAAGATGGTTCAGGAATATGGTCACTTCTTTTTCTTTCAGCCGTTAATTGATTTAAGTTTCTGTTACAAGTCCTTAAACTGTGTTGCAGTCTTCTGGGGGGTGGGGGAGGCGAATGCTGCTGCCTGAATTTCCTAGCATATGTTTGTGATTGCAAAACATGAAGGCTGCCTATTTCTCTTTCCTCTATTGCATTAGTTGTCTCTAGAATAATAGAAATATGCTGTAAAGCTGCAGAATATGACTGTCGTAACATTTCCCATTCCTGCTGTCAAGAGCAATATAAGACATTTCAGCCAACCATTATACTGCTCTTCATTCATGGGACTTTCTGGGTTGAGACTTGAAGCTTGAGTAGATAATTAAGTTCAGATGCTATGGTGTCACAAAGAAAGAGAGAATTGTCTGATGGCACTAATGTGAACAGAGCATACAGTATATCTGATGTAGGAGCTGGAGATAAGAGACTCAAGAAACAACTTTTTGGTTCCTTTCTGGAAGGAAATAAGCTTTAGTATCTATCAATCTCTATACATTAGAGGTTATCTGAAGAAAATTCACGATACTCTGTAAAACCCTCATAGGTCTCTCAATATGTATTGTGTACAAAAGTGTACTTTTGTACAATACAAAATTACAAAACTGACTTACAGAATAACAGAATTGGAAGAGACTCTTCGGAGGTTTTCTAGTCCACCTCCCATGCTCAAGCAGGAAACTCTATACCATTTCAGACAATTGGGGGTCCAATCGCTTCTTAAATCTCTTCCTGGTAAACCTCCTTCTTGTCATATTCAAGATTGCAATGTGTAATTCATTTGTTCATAATGAATGCATTCATGCATGTACAATGTGCGCATATAAATCATTTGTGACTCTAGCTTATGAGTTAGTCCAAAAGCAATCATTGCTATACATTATCATTTTATATAGTAATAAACCTTCCCCATACATCCTGATTGTCAGGCAATGTACTTGCATAATTATTGGATTTTTTTTAATAGGCATCATTTCCTGAGTAGTCTATTAGGTAACTGTGAAGCATGGCACCAGGAGATTTCTTCTTTATATAGCATGTACACAAAGGGCCTTGATCCATATTACCTTTGAATGCCTTTGATTGAAGTCCTTAGGGCTGACTCGTAAATGACTTTTTAACAGGATAGAATTCTCATGTGATGAGCTTTATCATCTAATTATGCCTGTTTGTACAAAATAGTCCCCAAATGGAAAAAAATCAAAAGTTAACAGCCGAAAATCCAGCTTCCAGCTATTTTCTCTAGCACATTATTTAATTTTTCTTATTGGAAACAATTTCAGATAGGGATGCACAAACCACTTGAAATCCAGCTGATGATTATATACCTTTTGAAAAATCTTAATTTGTTAATATTCAACACGTTCACTAATATCGACTGTTTTGTGCACATTGGCTCCTAATATATGGAGCTTTGCAAACTATTTTATGAATTCAAGTAGTGTAAATAATGTCTCCTGAAATGCATATAAACATTTCTTCACAAGAACATTTGAATGCAGAGGGAAGAATACTTTATTCATTATTGCCTCATAGATCCCATATTTCTTTTATATCCTTAACTCCATTCAGACGCCTCATAAAGATGTCCTGAACCAACTTTAGAGTAAATATGTTGTTGTTGCCATGGCTTTTGGGTTTCTATGAGTAATTTTATGTCTCCATGGACAATACTTGTGATGCTAGAGTAAAGATTTTTTTTTTCCCCATTAAAACCAATTAATGGAAAAATGTCTTAGAACAATCTTATATGGAAAGCCATGGTTAGGTTTTTTTTAAAAAAAACTACTACAATAAAATAAAATGTGAATCTGAGGTGATCTGGCAACCGTTTCCATTGAGATGCAAATTGATACACTACTGTAGTGGCTTGTTCGACAATTCCATTTCCATTATTTAGGCCTTACATAGATCTCAGCTTTCCTCTGAAAAGCTGAACATTCTTTATATAAAATCATCCCTCATTTAATCCTCTGATCAACTTTGTGGGATGGTTTGGATTGAACGCTAATGATTGGCCCGAAGTCCTTCAGTGAGACCCGTACAAAAGTTCAGGAACCAAAAGAGGCCACCAAAAACTAAGGCTAACAATATAATGGCTGTTTCATTATACATCACATTATACTGATATTTATACCAGACTGGTAAATTATTATAGGGTGGCTTTAATGCAACTCTTATCCTTTTTCTTGATAATGCTTAGATGATCATATATAAGAAAAGAAAGAAGTATGGGCAAATAGAATTGCACTGACTTCTCCTGTACAAAGTATTGCAGCTAGGGTAAACATTCACAGAAGCTTATAAATAGATTGGTGTCTTATGATGACCTGGATATCTGTATTATAATAGTTTATGGGGAAATTGTAGGTCAATATTGTGATCATGATATGAACTCTACTGTGCCAGGTGCAAATGAAAGGAGTTGTTACTTCTCTACTCATCATCCAGGGCTGTAGGAAAAGTCAAGATTTCTGCCTAAAGATTATTAGAAGGTTGACAAGAAGCAAGAAGCTAATTTCTAGAGAAGAATATCATTTTCATATTCCCATATATCATCGTAATTATCAAAAAGAAGAATTTAGACTTATGAGCAAGACAAGTAAATGCAAGATGAAATCTGTGGAGCACGTTGTCTAGAGAGATGAAAGTAGCTTGAAAAAATAAATTGGATTAACCCTACATTATTTACAGTGAAATTGTGTTTGAAAAATCACAGCACTAGAGGACAGAATTCCATAGTGTCGGGCTGGGTTTCCTCCGCTATCTATTTCATGATGCAAAATTAAGGAAAAAGAGAGAAATGCAGAAACATGCACCAACTCTTTCTTTCTTTTCCAGCACAAATTGAAGTGATACCATGCAAAATTTGTGGCGACAAGTCCTCTGGAATACACTATGGGGTCATCACCTGTGAAGGCTGCAAGGTATGAAATGTTTATATGTCTGTGATGTCACTGCATTCTGCGGCAGCTTCCGTCCTATTTGGATTAAACGCAAGTCATTTCAGCAAGGATTTTTTAAAATGGTACAAAAATGTCAGCCATTCTCCATGATTTCAAACTAAACACATGTGATTTTTTCCGAAACGTTTGAGGACATGTACAAGAAGCGCAAAAAGAACTCGTTCTCTGTAAATATAAAACAGCTTCTCAACAAATATAAATGCATACATCTCTTTAGCTCAAGTCTTGCTTCCAGCTCCTATTTCAAATGAGTGAGAAAAAATTATGACATTTGAATGAAAAAGACTTGAGTTCCCCTCTGTTTGGCTTAGTCAGGGGAAATAAAAACTGCCAGCGCAGCAGGATGTTTCAGTTTGCCATACTTGCCACAGATTGCAGGGAGCGAGGGGGGGGGGAGAGCAAATGTGTTGAATATAAAATGGAACAGAAACATCTATTTAAGAAGGCATTGCATAGCCTGTACATATTCTGAAATATCATTGTATTGAATAGGGTTTACTCCTGGTAAGCATATATAAGATTACAAAATTTTAGCAACTCATATTATTTACCTCTGAGTAATAACAGTTTAAGATTTGAACAGTACTTCACAAAGCTGAAAAATACCCTTCCTTCTTTCATAATCAGATCATGCTAGTTCTTCCTTTCTTCTTCTTTTTTTAAAGGATATCAAGTTTTCTAGAACTCTGAAGATATGGTTAATAAAAAAGGAGTAGCTTCATCATTTTTATAGATTGTACAATTGAGCTCTGCCAGTCAAGAGGTTTTGGAGATAACTCTTGACTGGAATCTGTTACTCTACATTAATGTTTCTCAAATTCGCTGTGTGATTTCAATTCCATGCTGGCTGGGAAATTCTGGAAGTTGAAGTTCAGACATCTTAAAAGTCCTATGGTTGAGAAACCCTTTTCTATATGACATCATTAATTTCTCACTTTTGTATCCTGACAATCCCTCCAAAATCTTTGGAGCTTCTAGGGGAAAGGGTGTGTTTAAAATTATCCTAATGTAACCTTTGCAACAACTGTGAGAGAAACATTTAACTTGAGAACGCAGGTGGAGTAGCCTTATGCAGAGTATCGTAGCTTAGTAGAAACTTATGTTAAAGCACTAAGGCTAACATTCATTATTATCCTAACTTTATCTGGACCTGGCAAAATTTCAAAAATCATAACACATCCAGACACTAATTGCCAGGATGGTTCTGAGATGTTGCCTTAAATACAGAGATTTAGCTGTCTTTCTTTTTCTCCTCACTAGGGATTCTTCAGGAGGAGTCAGCAAAACAATGCCTCATATTCCTGCCCAAGGCAGAGAAACTGTTTAATTGACAGAACCAACAGAAATCGCTGCCAACACTGCCGACTGCAGAAGTGTCTTGCCCTGGGAATGTCTCGAGATGGTAAAGCCCTAGCTTTCTGATTCACAGATCAGTCTTTGGAACCGTTCTTCCTTGCAGTCTGTTTTCCTTTTTCCAAAGTAATCTTTCTGTTCGGTGACATGGATCCCTGCTGTTTCCCAAACAGAAGCCTTTGTAACTAGAGGGGTTATGATGTCAAACAGAGAGTAAAATTAATCCAAGTACAAGATGTCACAATAGAAATTTGGAACAGAATTGCTGATAAGCATTAAGCTAAATTTCTCCAATCACTATAATGGGATTTACCAGATCTTGGTTTAAGGAGACTTTGGAATACAGTGTTTGTTATTTTATGCATATGGCATAGGTCCCTTCCCATGCCCCCCCCATTTGTCTATTAAACTGAAAAAATTTCAAAACACAAACATTGCTCACAGCAGGCCCAAGAACAGTGTATGATGATGAAAGTTTTTTTAAACTCCCTAAACAATTATTATGTATTTTAACTATTATTTAGAGTCCACATGTGACTGAGATGGGAAGCTTAAACATGTGTGTATGTATGTATGTATGTATGTATGTATGTATGTATGTATGTATGTATGTAGAGAGAGGGGGGAGGGAGAGGGAGAGAGAGAGAGAGATGGATAAGGCCACCAAATCAAATAAAACTCAGAATTAAAAAATACTGTAAGGAAGCACAACTAGAAACAAAATACTAGTGCACTGATAAATGCTCAAAAAAGAAAATTTCAGCCCCCAATCATAATCATTGCAATTGACAATGTGATCAAATACTTGCAGTGTCTGTGCATGTTTCAGGGACAAATGCTTGGAAATAGTATTGGTGAGATGGGCAGCATATAAATTTAATTAATAAATAAAGTTATTTGTTTATTTCCTTCTGGATTTTATGAAACAAAAGGTAAAATAACATTACTAACTGGGATACAGAATGTTTAGTAACTGGCAAATTTAAAGAGGAGAAAACAAGCCTGGATTGGTTGCATTCTCTGCCCAGCACAGGCAACAACGGGCTAAAAGTGCTGTCAATCAGAAGCATTTTTCAGAACTCCTTAACCCTGACTGGTATCATAAGCACTTTGGACGTTATGGAAGAAAGCAAAAGCAACTTTATGTGAGACATCCTTGAAGAACATTCAAAAGTGCAGCCGTTCCACAGTGCAGTAGTGCAAGCAGTAATGGACATCTCTCCATATGCCCAGGCAACTCCTCTGTTTTACAAGCTGCCCTGGTTGCCAATAAGATTTGGCCATAATTCAAGGTTCTGCTTATTATTTATAAAGCTCCATAGCATGTACTGTATGTGTTGACCTTTGAGTCAATCCATGCAGTTTTCTTAGCAAGATTTTTGCAAGTGTTTTGCCATTGTCTTCTTCTTCCTAGAACTGAGAGGGGGGCTGGCCTAAGATCACCCAGCTGGTTTGATGCCTGTCAGAAATAGAATCCAATGTCCCACTTAGTGCCTTAACCATAGACCAAAGTGACTGCTTGGTCTAGTGCAGCATTGGACTTAGTTATTTGAAGGACTGCCTGTCTCCCATCCTGTCTATTCAGACAGAATCATCATGCTGCAGGTCCATCCATTAAACAATGTCATCTGATGGAATCACGAAAGTGTGCTTTCTCTATCACAATATCTGTCATTTGGAACAGCATTCCCACAGAGATTTGTATAATCCTAACCTTGATCTTTTTCAGACAAGCCTTAAAGACTCAGCTATTATGACACAGTGGTTCAATGGCTAAGATGCAGAGCTTGTCGATCAGAAAGGTTGGCAGTTCGAATCCCTAGTGCCGCGTAACGGAGTGAGCTTCTATTACTTGTCCCAGCTTATGCCAACCTAGCAGTTCCCAAAGCATATAAAAATGCAACTCGAAAAATAGGAACCACCTTCGATGGGAAGGTAACAGCATTCTGTGCACCTTCGCCATTTAGTCATGCCGGCCACATGACTACGGAGACATCTTCGGACAGGGCTGGCTCTTCGGCTTTGAAATGGAGATGAGCACCTCCCCCTAGAGGCGGGGCACATATGTGTGAGGGGAACCTTTACCTTTACCTATTACCTTGGACTAGAATGAAAGGAGGACTATTTTGTGAAACTGGGTGCACAAGGCAAATAGTGGGTTGCCTCTTCCTGGTTAACCATTGCTTTTTCATTGATTAATTATTTCCATAATTTTATTTTACTGTTATTCACCAAAGTCCGTCTTTTGCAAATATGGAGGAAGAAGAAAGATGATATGAAAATCGGTGTGGTTAAATGCACATTGTAAAAACAACTTAGGTGGAATTACCAGCTTGTTTGGGACTTTCTTTTTTTAAGGACACAGGGGACTGAACTAGAATGCAATGCATGGGAGAAAGGTGTCTACTACAGTGAATATATTTTGCCTTGAAAATAAATGCAATTTCTTGAATATTTTCAATAACCCTTTAGGAAGAATATGACTGAATAACATTAATATATAAGAAACTGCATTTTTTTTCGATAGAAATTATGTTGTTAAAGGTTTCCTCCATTGTGTTCTTAAGGGTTCCAATATGTAAATATGAAAGTTCTTGAGTGCAGCTGCTAGTGATGCGTCCTTGCTCTGTTCCATTTTTTTGCAAGTGTAAAAGCATTTATCCTGCATATTTTATTTATTTTATTTTAATTAAGAAGACCAAATCTCTTACCGCATTCCAGCCCTCATAATGGCAGCGGCTCAAATAGTGACAATGAAATGAAAGATCCCAGAATGTCAGAAATAGTCCCTTTTCAAATAGTAACATGTTACTTCCTGAGCATTCCCCAGAGAAAGGACATGTAACTATGCACCTTTGGGACAACCGTGACCTGGATGATTTCCATAGACAACGTGAACCTATCCAGTGTCATGTCACTTTTGTGGCCAAGTATTATCTCAAGCTTGAAATAAATATTTATTTATACAGGTGTTTTCTATAGTGTCTATTGTGGATCAGGGGTGATGCCTCCAGATGTTTTTGGATTGGACATCAAATTAATCCCAGTCAAAATAGCTAAAGGTTTGGGTTGATAGGAGTTTCAGTCCAGCAATTTCAACATTTTCCCTGGTCAACAGCAGTCCCCCCTCTCTCCCTCCCTTCCTCCCTCCCGCTCTCTCTCTCTCAACAAAGGGGGTCAGAATGATGAAAGCAACGTTGTGGCACACAACATGAGCTCTGACCCTTTGGAACGCGGGTCGTGATGTCACTCACATGTCGGAAGGCAGCAAAGCTTGCAAAGTTTGATACTGCTTTCATCATTCTAACAAAAACAGCAAGCATTCCTGCATGATGCTGTCTCCAGCTCTGTCCTGGCCTATTGAAAAAAATGGCTAATGAAGATGGTGATATTGCTTTGCGTTATGACTGACAGTTTTCTCCCTTTTCTTGTCACAAGAAACGAACCCTTTTATTACTTTAAGGTTATATGTGACAAATACTTTTCTGGGATGTAATCCACAAATTGTGCTTCTTTAGAGGAAGTATGATTCCTGTAGAGTGTTTCCTTTAGTCTGTTATTTCCCTTCCCTGTAACCTGTATAACATTATCTCCCACCTCCCCGAAAAGTGTATGAAGATAACAGCCCCGTTGACAGATTGTGATAATAGGGAGTTGGGGGCTTGTTATCTTCCAAAAGTACTAATCCTGTTAGTGCACAGATTGAAGGTTTGGAGAAAATTGATAAATCACCCAGGATATAAATCTGAAGAGAACATTTTTAGAGACACCTGGTTTGTGGCACAGTGAACACAGGGAGATGAAAAAGCAATTGTGAGGCTGCTCATTATGCACGGCAGGATGGTGGTTGCTTGGCACTCTGGGAAGAATATTTTCTTGGTTTCAGAGGAACTTAGGCTAGGGTGAGCAATTGGAGTGAGTATCCTGGGAAACTAGGCCCTACAGCTCCCTTATCAGCAAAAGACAACCAGCAAAAGAGTAGACATAGGGCGCAAAAGGACAACAGGTTTGGGTTTGGGTGACAATATCCTTTGGGTGACAATATCCTATGGTCTAACTGTCTCTGTCAGACTCTATCTTGTGGTGTGTTTTAAAATAAAATATTTAAAATATTCTTTGTTTCCTCCAGAAATCTCAAGTTCAATTAAAAAAAAACGTTTAACTCAAAAAACTGAGTTTTTAAATAATTTGGAATTATTACAATTCTAAATTTGCAGAAAGGTATATATCACATCATTTTCTTCCACTGTGTTAGTGGAAGCCAATCAATTAAAAATTAAAATAATCTCTCTTTATAGTGACCAACTTTAATTGTTACCCTAAACATTGCAAAACCATCAACAGGCTGATTTATTTGGGAAAAAATATCATCATTGTTTTACTAAATCTTTTTTTAATGAATGTATATTTCATCTACAAAATGGATTTCCAGAAGAATCAGTCAGGGCAGAATATTTTGATTAAAATTTACCGAACTTTGAAGAAGAAATCAACTATAAAACAATCCTGATAATCCTGATATGTGAATCTATGACAACAATTAATATGGATCTTTTAAATACAAATTTCCATTAAATCCAAATTACCTAATTTGCATACATTTATATTATATCTGTAATTATGTAATTGACATAAATGGTGTATGCAGTAAAACTTCAATTCACTGTAATGGATAGACCATTAATTTAACTAACAAAATGGAATGAAGTTAAAGCTAAACATTTCTTGTTGCATCTGGAATCATTACTTTAGTCCATTGCTTTCTAGTAGATTAATCTCATGATTACTGGTCTTAAGGTAAAGTTGCTGAGATTTCCAAGGGAATGGTGCAGAAACATTTTGATTCTGTACTTTAATAAGTATATAAAAGTAAAGCTTTTCTCACCATGAAGTTAAACAGGCAGAAACAAAACTGAATTCCTTGAACTATTATATGAACAAATTTTCTCTTCCATTAAAAATATATACGTTCACAGTTGTTCAATATTAATTCTCTTTGAGTTCCTGTACAGGTTATTTCAACCACTGCACAGTAAGAATCAAATATATAGGACTATATTCCTCTTTTGGTCTAATTGGGACAAAATAAGAGATTTATATGCAATGATTTTAAAGAAAATTGCATACTGAAAGTAATCTCCCAGGTACCACGGTGTTTATACTGAATGAATGAATGAATGAATGAATGAATGAATGAAGGCAGGCAGGCAGGCAGGTAGGCAGGCAGGCAGGCAGGCAGGCAGGCAGGCAGGCAGGCAGGCAGGCAGGCAGGCAGGCAAGCAGCCTGGTTTCTAGTGATGGACATCTTCTATTCATATAAAAATTCTCTCAACAAATGTGGTTTCTTAAACTCCTTCACTGCCTTATATATGGCCTAAATCCATTCAATTGTACCTTATCCAATAGCCATTATTAAACTACAAATTGACACAGTCTTTAAAGATTAATAATCTCTAATCAGTTTGAAACACTTACTACCCTGCACCTGGCATACAAGTCAAAGTGATATTCTAAAAATAAGAACACCAATGTATTTTTGAAATTGTTCTTGTTTCAGCTGTAAAGTTTGGAAGAATGTCCAAAAAGCAGAGGGACAGTCTCTATGCTGAGGTACAGAAACATCAGCAGCGGCTGCAGGAGCAGCGCCAGCAACAGAGCGGCGAGGCTGAAGCCTTGGCCCGAGTCTACAGCAGTAGCATCAGCAATGGCTTAAGCAACCTGAACAATGAAACGGATGGCACTTATTCAAATGGGCACATTATTGACCTGCCGAAGTCCGAGGGTTATTACAGTGTGGATTCTGCTCAGCCCTCCCCAGATCAGTCTGGCTTAGACATGACTGGAATCAAACAGATCAAGCAAGAACCTATTTATGACCTCACTTCCGTACCAAACTTGTTTACCTATAGCTTTTGCAACAACGGACAATTAGCTCCAGGGATAACCATGGCAGAAATAGGTAAGATAATCTTGTCTTTGGTGTTCAATGTAATTTTCGCAATGGTTGTGGGTCTATCCCTCAAGCTGAGAGGTTGTATTTGAAACGGGTTGATCCTGTCTGACTAGGTTTGTTGTAGAGTCAGTTTACGGAATTCTAAAATGTTTACATTACTTAAATGGAGCAATTCATGATCTGTTTATGAAGCTGAACGCCACAGTCAGTGATAAATCAATCAAATGATAATTACTAAATAGAGAGCTTGTATCAAAAGAGCTCATTATCATGAGGGTTTAATGATCTTTTTGACAACTATACACATTCTTGTCAACAAATCGCTCTGCAAGTGGATCATTAATAGGACTGGCATGAAAATTAATTAGAATGCAGAACTTTGTGATCTTGCATTGAAGACTCAAGATTTACATCAGCATTTGGCATAGATGACTTCACACTGTCCCTGTTAATTCGTTGGAGAATTTTATTTCAAGTGCTAGGCATAATTTCTTCAGTTGTGACTCTGATAATTGGTAGTGTAACCTCATTGTTAGGTGTCTTGTATAGGGAGGAAGGTGATGTCTTTATGATGACCAATATTTTCTATTCACAGCTATGTTAAAAGACATAATTAGTTTTCAACCAATGATCGTTGTGTTTGTTATAACCATAATTTATTCATCTTATATGCCATTCAGAGGAATGTGCGTTCTAAAAACTCTTCTTCTCAGGCCAAAGTTGACTTTCTCGCTAGAAAAATATAGCCATAAATATCTGTTCTGCTAGCATTTAAATATATTTATGAAGAGGAATAAAAATAGACTACTTCTGGGCAATTAGTCTTGGTTGGATTTGGAGATGTACATCTGCAAGTTGAGGGCAAACCAGCCTGATCCAAGCTACTTCAAAATTCAATTCAAAACAGATTTGTACATATTCAGTCATGGGCAAGCATCAAAAATGCCTGCAGCTGCCTTTGTTACTTCTTTTCTTTGGCAGAATAAAATGATAGACTTTTTAGAAGGAATTGACCCTGCCACGTTTCAGCCACATGCAGTCAAGGACTTCATTAAATGTTTGAAATATTTCCCTGATGGCTCTTTTAGGGCAGAGATTAACAGGGATGAGAAAAGGACAGCACAGCAAATTGTTTCCTAAAAGGGCCTGTAAGAGATAGGTTGAATTAATGGTGAAAGTATCCTATATCCAAATGAAATGTATTATTTTTCAAAAACCATTTAAACTGCAGGCCCTTCATTTTCTGAGATCCCGAGATTCACATTGTAGTGAAGCAATCCCATTGACTTGCCCTTCTAATCAATACAATTTCTGAAATACCAGGTGTGTTGGGATAGCTGGATGGCAAACATGGCTGCTCTTGAAAAGAAACCTCTCAGAATGGGACACCAGGCAGGACAAGCCCATTGATAAACTTTTAGAGCTTGATTGCCACTCAATCAGTTCATTATAACAAGTAGGCTGGCCCATTGTGATAAAAAGCCATAGAGATATGCAGGCCGTGAACAGGTTGGCATTGGTAAGCTTGCTGTCATCTTATTCCTAAAAGCAGTGAGCATTTTGGCTAGCCCTTATGAATCCTGTCTTTTTCTTGATTTTTAAATTGGTATTTGCCCTTAGTCACTGAAAGAAGCTGGGCAGCTTTAGAAGTGGGAAAGAATATATAAATAAATGTTAATCCATTCACTCATAATTGAGAAACTTACACCAGCACGGATCATGCAGAATTTAAAAGTAAGATACGGCTCCAAAGGGCTGCTGGACTGGTCAGCTGTGAAACCATATTCAAAATGCTAAGAAACGAAGAGAGCTCTAAATTGGCTGCCAGGATCATCACAAACGTGTATTTTAATTCTGTTTGCACAGGAGAGAGCAGAGTTAAGCCTTCTAGCAGGCCACATTAATGAGCATTGAGTACTAAGAAAATGAAGGAAGCCTGAAGCACTGCCACCCATACCACCCCAAGAGAGCTCTGATAGGCAGAGAATTTAATGAGGCGATAAACTCATTGGCCAGTCACTTACTGAATGTCAGGGAAAATATTTCACACACATACGGACACACACACACACACACACACACACACACACACACACACACACACACACACCATCCGCCCCCAGTCTTCTCCATATATGGAAGTGAAAAAGCAAAATTGCATTTTGTCTGCAAAAAGTCTCCAAAGCAGCAGAGAAGCCATGGAGTCTGTAACCACTTTGGAACCATCTGATTCAGTTTGCTACATCAAAGCAGGTCCCCACTTCATTTTGTGAGGCTGCTTCCATGGGAATTCAACTGCATCTTTGTCAGAGTGAAGCACCCCTTTGAAGCTTTGCATAGCCTTGAGCTCCAGAGCTTTCCTAAAACCACAGACTAATTACAACAAAGCAATAGCTCTTTTGGGGCTGTCTTCTCAAATCTGCTGGGTCTTGGCTGATTACACTACACAGACTACACCTACCAAACTAAGCCAAAATATAATTTATTTCTTCTTAGCTTCACATGTGGATATCATAACTGGGCTGTAAAAATCAAGATGACCGCTAGCTGGCATCAAAAGGATGGTTAACTCTTTTAGTCTTTGCCACCATGTTGGAATCATCTGGATTTTTTTTGTCACCTGGATCTGGAAGTGCTACTAAAATCCTTAAGCTAACATTTCCCTTGCTTCCATCTCTTGAAACACACGAGTCAAAAGTGACAGAGCATCCCCAGCATCCCAAAGCAGCTCTTCTAATGGTCATCTGGAACTTTGCAGCCCAGATATGGTAGATCAAGCTTAGCAGTGATGTGATAATCCAGTCTTCATGATTTAGAAGCATTTTTTTTTCATTGGGGTGTGTGTGTGACCATAGTTAATCTTATAAATATATACATAAATATAGTGTGTGTGAATTCAACCAATTTTCTTGTATTTCTCATCATATCATGGGTTAATACAGTGTTTTTCAAATTTTAAGATGTGTGGACTTCAACTCCGAGAATTCTGGGAATTTAAGTCATGCACCTTAAGGTGGCCAAGCTTGAAAAACACTTAGTTGGTGAAATGTATAAATTGAACTGATGAATAAGAGATTGTACAGTCATCCGTAAGAATTGCTGGAACGGAGACAGATTCTATCTCTATCAACAGTGTTTTTCTTAATGGAATGTTGTTTTTTCCATATACCCCAACATCCTGGGGCTTCTATGCAATAAACAGATAGACACATAGACTCTGCTTTAGAGGTACTACCTTATCTATAGGGTGGGGTTTTTGTTTTTTTGAGAAGCACTGTTTCTTGGTTACTGTATAAGATTGAAGGATCACTTTGTTACATAAAGCAAGGGGTTTGATATTTTAAAAAACAATGACTTCAGGTTGTAGACATAAGCCTAAATCAGATTCTGAAGGGTAGACATATACTGAGCTAAAGTTTGATTAACATGGTTTACTAAATAAACCATGCCTCTTTGCTTATAGAATTAAATAGCTGAGGTCTATAGCAAAGGTTAAGTTTTACCTAAGTAACTGAGTCCAAGAAATGATATCTGAATTAAGTCAGTAAATATTTCTCCTTTGTGTAACAACCAGTGGTGGGTTCCAAATCCTGTTCCAACCGGTATGGTTGGAACAGGCCCGGCGGCATCCTCATAAATGTGTGCAACCCATGTGCACGCACGCAGCACGTGCTTGCCTCTCAGCACCTCTGCAATGTTCCGCAATGCTCCAGCTGCTCCACAGAGCATCGCACAGGCGCTGTATGCACGTGCGCAGAAGCGCAGAAGCCTTTAAACACAGGCAAGGAGCTCAGACAGACAAATGGGCCCTCTGGAGCACTGTACAGGAACAGTATCCAGTGCTCAGGGCTGGCTCAGGTATGCCCGTACTGGGGCGTACCGCCTGCAAGCCACCACTGGTAACAACCAACCTCATGAAGAATTCTGAACATCTCAAAATATTGCACTAAAGATTTTTGGTTGGTCCTAATAACGTTTCTGATTTTAAAAAACACCCATTGGGGAAAATGGATTTGCTTAATAACCATGGTGTTTGTGTAAAGGTTGTCATAAAAACAGTCATAACGTTGAATGTGACACCTCGCCCTTTGACTGCAATGACTTACAGTCATAAGTCAAGGACTACTTATATCCCATTGCTTAACATCGTACCAGGATTAAGAATTAGAATCAAAATGTTTCGAGAAAGATAATTGATCTTTTAACATCATTGCTGTTTTCATAAGAAACTAGAGGGAGCCAAGAATTGCACTATTTTTCAATCTTATGTTTTCACAGTGGCTTAGAATGGGGAAAAAATTAAATTGGAAAGATGATTCCAGCATGGAGACAGAGTTACTGAGAATGCTTTTCATGTATTGAATTCCTCTTTGCCCAGCGGTTTGTTAAAACCTCACAATGGGACCAACATTAAAAAAAATAGTAAAAATGGTAGAAAGCCCTGCAGAGAAACTGTGGTTCTAAACAGAGCATGAAAGAAAGGCAAGCATCTTAAAATGGTATAGTTATATTAATTTTTTTGTTGTTTCTGGTCCCACTAGCGATAAACAGAGAATGACTTAGTAATTAAGGGAAGAGTGGGCACACAATGGCAACCCTGTTAGCTTGAAGGCTATCCCATGAGAAAGAGACCATCAAGGGCTGAATAGGTTCTAACCACATTTTCCAGATTGGGATCACAGCACTCAGATCCTTACAGATCGAAACAAAGCTTCCTTATGCTTTAAAGCTGCGGTGCAGCCTTGAATGCTCAGCTCACAATGCAAATTACTGCTTTTTAAGCAAACCCGCCAAGCGAAGAATGGGCTGCAGGGTTGCCAAAATGCAGAGCCACCACGGGCCCTGTGCCTTGCTTTGTTATCGTTCGGTGTTTTGCAGGTATCCTTTTAAAAGAGAGGCCGGGCGGAAACATAGTTTAGTTGTACCTATATTTTTACCGAACCTAAGTTGCTTTTCAAACTCCTGAATGATTAAAAAAAAATCTTTAATGCACTGAATATCACTTA